TATTTTGGGGTTGGGGAAAAAAGGGTGGGAATATAACACTTGAAAGTTTCCTTTACCTAGATTTCCAAGTCTAATTACATTTTAACATTTACAGCCTGAGTGGGTGCAAATGATTTCAAGAGCATTTTAACTCAAGTCCTCAGAAGAAAAAAAATATTTAAGAAACTCAATGTAAGACTAGAGAAATAAGGAGGACATATAGCACATGAACATAGTCAGAAGGCTGCAAAGGTATAGAATGTCTAATCCTTAACAAACTATTTCGAATGATCTTTGACCTCTGTTATTTTGTTTACATTCATATTTGTATGAAAAATGTGGGACGCTGGTTACTTAATACATAATACTCACAAAATTGACCTCTTTTGGTTCAAAGCTGCTAAAAATTATTCTAAGGCCAGAATGTGAAAAATTTACTCATGATGTAACTATTAAATTCTGTAGATACTACATATGCAAACGAACAACACGGCATATCTAGAATGAATTTAGAGCCCCAAAGATTCTTAACAGTAAGACTTGGTAAAAAATAAATCGGAGACAAAGGTAATAAAATTAACTATCAAAAGGTAGAATATTTTTATAATGCTATGAAATAAAAGTTAAGGACAATCTGAAATAAAGCAAAATATATTTGAGAAAAACAATAGTTATTTACAAGTCTAAAACTAGGTAAGAGGATAAAGCAGGAAGACAGGAAAGACTAAGATCATTTATAGACTATGTGCTGTGATGCAATTAAACTATGTAGAACACACTGAATTTCACTAATCTCTTTATAGAGTAAATTTTAGAAGCCAATACATTTCCCTAAATATCCTGTGAGTTAGGGCATAACTGTAAATTAAGAGATTCCACAACAAATATCATGATTCTTTGAGTTGAATGCTTCAAGTCATTTAACACAAATTCATTTTAATAAACATGCTTTTTCTTCTAATACTCCCTCTAACAATACGATAGAGGTATCCTGAAGGGACATTAAGATGAAAGAGCCATTTCCAACTTCAGGGACTATTCACTCCTTTAAACATTTGTTTTCTTTTCTTCTAAGCAATCAGTTCAATGTTCTTAAAATTCAACTATCCTTTTTTTTTTGTTTGTTTACCCCTGAGTTTAGCAAAAATATCGGGCAATATTATAAACCCAAAGTTGTTTTGTTAGGAAACATGTGAGTACACGGAAGAGTATTTTTAGTGCACTTTAAAAATACTAGAGATGTGATCACCAAAGAGCTAAAAGTTTCTTGTTTTTAAAAGAGTTCTTTGGTCTGCATTAAATTTTTAGTTGTTACTTTTTATCAGAAGAAAAGATTATATGCTTCATAATGTAGCTTTTAAATCAGACTAAAAGTTTATGTTAAACCTGATACAGTATACATATATCTCTTTTTGATCAACAATCATTATCTTCTGAAACTGACTGCTTTAAAAAGATTATTTAGTTTGTTAAGTGGACTGATTATTATAAAACATATTGCAATTAGAGGGTAATAAAATTGTAGGATTAAACATTGTAAGTTAGTCTACTAATGCCATTTAAAAAGTCATTGCTGGTTAACTTTGTTTAATCAATGTCTTGTTAAGTGCCATCAAATCAGTTCAAACTCACAGTAACCCTGTATAGGGCCAGGAGTGGCTGGTGGATTTTAACTGCTGACCTTACAGTTAGCAATCCAGCATTAATCCTATAGCACCAAACCAGGGCTCTTAATATGGATACATTAACACAGTCAAGTATACCTCTTAGGCTAAAAAATCAAAAAACAAAAAAATCAATACTATATCACAAAGCCAAACAAATTACACTTCACACTGAAACTTCCAAAGTTTAACCACAAAACAACATTTACCTCAAACAAGTTTTTTGCTGTAAAATTCTAAAAGGCGAAATCATATTTTTCTAGTCATTTATGTAAATGTATATAAAGGATTTAACTGTAATGAACTACTAAATAAGCCAATTGCCATCAAGTCCACCCCAAATCATGTTGACCCCAAGTGTGTCAGAGTAGAACTGTCCTCCATAGGGTTTTCAATAGCTAGTTTTTCCAAAGTGTGCCATCATCAGGCCTTCCTTTCTTTCAAGGTACTTCTGAGTGGATTCAAACCTCTAACCTTTTTGTTAGCAACCCAGAGCTTTCACTATGTGTACCACTTAGGGATTCCAAAGCTCAACTATTTAAAATAAAACAGAAAATCCTAATGGGAATGTTCATAGGCTTATCATTTTAAGTTATGAAAAGTTAAGAAGGATGCATATACCTATATAGGATCAAACAGAAATAAGCTAATTTGTTCACTGCATTCAAATGTCTGCTGCCTTTAAATATGGATAATATTTCTAAGCAGTTAAAGGTGTGCTAATTTTGATAAAACACTGCCTTTATTGATAATTAGATCCTAAAATTCACTTTAAATATAAGTATTCTTCTTACAGTTCACTTTATATATTATTTCTATCTATGAAATAATCATACTAAAAATTGATCAAAGAAATCTAAAAATCTTTAATGAGTCTTAATGCCCCTTGAGATGATCTGTTATTTCAATAGTCCAATTCTGTATGTGCTTTCCTACTTCTTTTAAAACTTAATCTGTTAACTGCTAAGGAATTAAAATATCTGATATATTCTTTGCAAACTTTGTTTTTAAATTCATGACTAACAATTGGCTATTAAGAATTGGTTTCTGAAGCCAAAATATTTTATACTTCTCCAATGAGTCAAAGTATATTAATCTGCATTTATTGGTCACTCCAGATGTTGACTATAAACTTAGTTCTCCTTTGGTTACAATAGGAAATCATTCTATTTTGCTACGCATCTTTTAAAATACCTTCTAAAATAGTGGCTTTTTTTTTTTTTTTAAGTTTTTAAATTTTTGTCTAGCATTGACTATTTCAATGTAGATTAAAATTTAACTGAACCATTAGTTGTTGGTTGTTATTGTTTTTGTTAAGTGCTGTTGAGTCGGTTCTGACTCATAGCAACCCTATGTAGAACTTCCAAGGAGCAGCTGGTAGGTTTGAACCACCAACATCATGGTTAGCAGTCTTTAATAGCCTACCTGAAATTGTATTAAGAATAACATATTCTCTTTCATTAATATATTCAATAAATTCCTATATAAGGTCAAAGAGATATTGAAAACATCCCTTAGCAGAATAAATGGATAGAAAAGTATAAATATTTTTGGACACAGTTAACTGATTAAATTACGTGTTATTTAATTGCAAGAAGTGGACTGTTATACATCTAACTGAAACACAAAACTACACAAAGTGACTGAATAGAGCAGGAATGGACAGGTCAGGTTAAACTAGTCAATTCAGATTCAGAAAGGACTGTTTCCACATTTATAAACAAGAAATTTTTGAAGCATAATTCTTAAAGTGATTAAACCAAGATAAAGTCATACACTCGCTGCATTTCTGTGTATATCCCTTTCATAACCTCCATGCTCTTCCTATAATGAACTTTACATTCAACATACAAATGAACGGAAATTGAATATGCTAAAAACCAAAAAATATTTCGCTAGATAATACCAATGGGTGTAATTATTACATCTTAAGAGTACCAAGAGAAGAGTGGTTTAAAGACTGGCAGACATTAAAAAATATTGGGGTTTTGTGATTTCTTTAATGCATAAAAGAGACACTTTCTCCCCAAAGACTGAATAACAATCCCTGCAAAAAGGACTACTCTATATCCTACTCCTTTCAATGCAGACTACATTGTAGAAACAAAATCTCTCTTAGAGAACTAATTGTTAGAAGTAATGACTATCCCTAAAGATATTATACTCTCAATTTTTACACTTTAAGAAAAGTTCATATTAATTTCTCTTAAAATAAAGATTTAGCTTTGGGAAAAAGTAAGTCTCTCAAACTTTAACCTAGGTCAACCTAGTTGACTGTCATTAATTACACTTGGTTGATCTAAGTTGACTGCCTATGTATTTTTCTATGCTTCTTTTCTTGTAGTGTTAAACACCATTTTAGTCTGTCTCCATATTTAGTTTCAAGTCTCTGTACAGAACTGAACAATGTGAATAAGTCTGGTGAAACACAGACTCAGTCCTTGATACAGCTTAATTAAACAGTCCCTCTTCCCATATAATTTATATAAGAAGCACCAAAACTGGAGCCAAGTTTTCAACAGGTAATACAACAGAAAGAACTATAATTTAATCACATCATACCATATTACACTATGTAACATTCTCGATTTGCCTGTTGATAGAGTAACATAGTTAAGTTTATTACAAGCATTATTTTGTAAGATTCATGGTATAAGTATTCCTTTTCAAGTATGGTAACTTATTATTAACATTAAGCAAATCAGTGATAAATGTATATAATGTAATACATTGTGCCATTTTTCCATAACCATGTTATTATTAACAAAATCAACTAATAAAACCAAAACAAGGCTATCAACATCACAGATACTTATCTGAGTAGATCAACAGCTTTGTCCCCTTTACGTGAAAGTTATTATTTTTATCAAAAATGCTTCTACATCTTTAGGCTAGCATAACTTTAGCAGCAGCTGGTATTCCAGACAAGTAGATGAGAAAAGTTTCAAGTGAAAAAATCGAGTTAACTCAGAGAATATCAAACCATGTTACTAATAAGAGAAGCAAACTGCTGGTGTCTCTTTAACATAAAACCATGTGTTTTCCCTTTCAATTGAGGTTTTAATTCATTTATATGATTGACAACAGAGTTTTGGAGTTCTCATGATACATCAGTGAGATGGACTAATTTGTCGACGAACCTCTTACTTGTTTTAATATTTAAATTATAACAATACAATAACTAGAAAAAGTCAATGCCTCAGTGGCTTTAGACTACATCAATCCCCCCCCCCCCAAAATAAGGATGCAATTAAATCTATGCTTCTGCAGCAATAGTGCAATACAGTATCCTTTTCTGTGTAAGGAGCTGAGGTTTATCCAAGTAGAAGCTTTAAATTAGGTAGATTGTTGCCAACTACAGAGGTGCATTCAATAGAAAACACTTTTCAAAACTACTGCAAAAAACAAATGACAAAAAGTGGTTAATAACAATTGAACATCTGTTGTGTGTACCAGATGTAAAAGAAGAATGGACCCTCTGGTCACTTGCACAGTTTGAATTACATGAAGGAAAAATGAAGACTTAATCTATTTCCATTTCTCCAGAAGATTTAGTATGCTGGGAGTTGTCTTTTGTTGCATCTGGTTTAGTTTCAGTCCCACTCTGTCCATCCATTGGTCCATTGTGTTCACTATTAGCTTTTGCTTTGTCTTCAGCAACCTCTATTTTTGGTTTGGGCTTGTAAATGATAGGGTTACAGAAATTATCCAGTTCCTAAAGACAGGAAGAACATTGGTTATATTAAAAATATTACAGGTTGCCCATTATCTTTCTAAATTTCTACATAATTCCATATACCTGGATTTATGTTCACTCAGCTAGATAATTAACTGCTTCTATCTCCTGATGTGGCACTACAGGATAAGCATTAGACTTTGAACCAAAGGTCAGTTCAAACCCACCAGCTTCTCCTTGGAAACTCTATACAGGGTTGCTGAGTCGGAACCAACTCAACAGCACGTAGCAATATACCTCATTGAAGGTTTTATCTTCTTGGCTAGCTATGTGAAAACTATATGAGTGCACAAATGGTTATGCACTTGACTACTAACTGAAAAGCTGGTAGTTGAGACATACTCAGAGGCACCTTGGAAGTAAAGCTTAGAGGTCTGCTTCCAAAAGGTCACAGCTATGAAAAACCTATGAAACCTTGAAAAACAGTTCTACTTGGAAACACATGATATAGCCAAGTCAGAATCAGCTCGATGGCACTGGTTTGTTTTTTCAAAAAACTTTCCTCAAGTAATTTCTGCTGTAAGTATAGTTTACTTTGGCAGGAATAATTTTAAATTAATTCCTTTAAATCATGTCTTTGTTATGAAAACAATGTCAAAATAACACCTACTTCATAAATTTAAATTTCTCAACATTTATATGAAAATGATTTCATCAAGTAGAATCATATAAATCTACCCACTACCAAATAACATTTTTTATTGATGGGAAAAGCTTTATGACAGTAAATGCAATTTAATAACAATTTAAAACAAATGTATTTTTTACTCCCTTGCTTTTTACAGAGAAAACAACAATTCCATAAATACTACAAAAGTATTTAAGCTCCTTTAAAGGCTAATGACAAAGAGACTGGGGTAGGGATAGAAAGACAGGGAGTAACATACTATGGCAATGTCCTAGTGGCAAACTGCTCTTGTCATATTCTGTTTATTTCATCTGATTTAGAGTAAACTATTTTATATAGCTTTGTGACCAACTTATTCAGAATAAAAATACTTATTGCTTTATCTGATTAGGAAAATACATGCTTTGTTAAAAATAAATAAATAAATAAAATTACATGTCCAAAGATACAAAACGAGTTAAAAATCACTTGAAATTCCAGTTTCTAGAGATGATCATTATTACCATTTTGTAAACATGCACACATGTTTACAAACAATACAAATGTATGAACACATCTTTATATATATATATCATGCATCTAGTCTAAAATCTTTCATTTAATGGCTGCATAGTATTGTATGGTATACCAATCTATCTAGATTTCTTCTGAAACTATGTTGTTTTCATTTTTTTCTATAAGGTATATATATATCTGCATATATATGTGCAACAGTTAATTTGGGATGAACTCCTAGAATTATAAATGTAGACAAAACTAAATCAGATGGGTGAATAAAAAGACTTACTCACATTTCTTAGATTGGTGATGAGGATGAACACCCTTTCATACAGTTATTGGACTGATATTTCTTCTTTGGCCAACATTTTTACTCATTTCTCTACTTGGAATCTGATCTTTATTTAGTATCATTTTCTCCTCAAGTTTCTCATGGTAACCACTGACAGATTTATTAGCACTATTTTTTTGTTGTAGTTATTTTAATGTTTTTATTGTGAATTGAGTGAAAGTTTACAGGGCAAATCATCAATTTTACATTCAACAAATCATACACCTGGTTTCATTACAATGATTATAATCCCCTCCATGTGCCATCATGTACCATTCTCTCTATTCATTTTAGCTCTTTTTTTTTTTTTTAAACTCAGGCACATATAATAATTTATACCATCAAAGGGCACATTCTGCAAGTCTGCCTCCTGGCCAGCAGTTCTCTCAGCCCCTCACTTCCCATGAATCCAGAGTCCTCAGCAGCTCCCTTTCTCCATGTCCCCATCTCTGTTTCAATGCTTCTCTGGATAAAGTCCCCCATTCCACTTGTGCTCTTCTCCCTTGATGGTCCTGTTTCTGGACTGTGAGATTAACTACTCCCACATTTTTGTTACAAAACTTCTACCTTTACAATTTGACATTTGCAATTAGTCATGATAACAATTACTTACTATTGAATCATAAGAATCTTACCCCCATTTCTTTTTACCAGACCCATCTAGACATGAGGAGACTATTCAGTGGGGACTCTATCTTACCTCACACACTCTTAAACTAAACTCCCTCTTGAAACCTTGTAAGCTAGTCATTTTGTGCCTTTATCACCCCCTCATTTTAGGTGGCCAATGCTAAGTTGCCAGTCCCTATCTACCCTGTGTATAGTGGGGATAGCATTGATACTTCATGTGAAGACTCCTTCACTCTCTGTTGGTATTTAGAGCTACTACCTCCATGAGTATAGGTCAAGTTCATCAAATTGTAGCAATTTACCATCCTTTCCTTTATCAAAAATTGTTTTTTTGCTTCCCCCGCCCCTTCCTATTTTCCTCTAGTCAAGTTCTGATCATCAAGCCATCAAGGCTAGATCTGATGGGTACTATCTGCAAGTTTGGGTGTTCTTGTGCATCTCCTTCATATCAGTTGGATGCTTCACTCTCAGCTCTAGTCCTTTGTGGCTATGTTCTTGTCCATGGGCTCAGGTGTCCCCAGGTCTCACCATACTGTGGACCAACCAGCCCTTCCTCTTCTGTCTCTCATCTCCAGGTCAATGGGAGTACATGGAACGTGGTTGAGCGCAGCCCATTTCTTCATTGCTGCCTTTACTCCTCTTTCACTGACCAGTAGTCCAATGTGGTTATCAGCAAGCTTACATGCCTGCTCATGTGTTCCCTTTGAGTTTCAGTCTTAGAGAGGAGTATTAGCACTGTTTTAAACTCGAATTTTATCTTGGAATTAAGACTTTGCTATGAAGTTAATACTTTTAGAACTATGTTGGACAGACCAATACTATCAAATTTTACACTGTAAACTTATATTTATAAGTCTAAAATATTTGATAATTAGAAGTTGTCATGTTGCTTTATTCCATCCTGGATTTAAATTTTAAAACCAACCTTGTGTATATGACAAATTAAATCAAGGAAAAGAGATGTTCCCTCTAGAATTAAAAATAATTTTTTTAAAAAAGATCAACCTTAAATTTGTTTTTCTAAGTTCTTCAAGTTAAAGTTCTCAAAAGTTAAATTTCTTAAAATTAAAAAAAAAAAAAATGTTTTTATCATATTTAAAAAAAATGTTTCTTACCTTTGACTTTACTACTATTTCTGAAACTTTCACGATAGGATCTTGAGTAAGACTTAGTTTGTTCTGTGCATTCATCTTACTGTTCAGCCAGTTCATAGCTTCACTGATATATTTTTCAACTTTTTCCATTTCAGCAGGATCCAAGTGATCATATCTTTCATCCTATTTTTAAAAAGTTGTACTTAATAGATTTTTCAGAGAACATCAACTTATTGATAATCTGTTTCAAAGAGACTTTCATTGAATATATACCTCACACATACCCATGTAAGGAAGCCACATGTAAATTACACAGACCTGAAAAGACTGGAAGAAAATAAAAAATCAGAGTAGGTATAAAAAGGAAAGTCTCCCTGAAGAAGTCAGATTTGGAAAAGAATGATTATGAAAGATATTCAAGGGAAAAGCACTTAACCAAGAAAGAAGTTCTATGGAATGTAATTTGTTGTAGAATAAAGATAAACAAGGTGCAGGAATATAGCAAGCCAACTAGAAAATTCAAAGTATGAAACCATATAACATGGTAAGTTGTTGATGTGGAGAATGACATAATGAAAGTGTCAAAAAAAGGGAACTGAAGCTGTCACATGTAGGGGAAATTTAAGAAGTCATGGTTTACACAAATATGTAAGAGTCTGAAAGAGGATATTTGTACGTGAGTATTTACCTGCAAACACAAGTATGAATGTGGTGGAGCATCTGGTGGGTGAAATGAGGAAAACTTCTTAGATATTACCAAAAATCTTAAGGCAATGAGTTTCTGAGCCTAGGAGCTTAGGACCATAGTCTCAGGGAACATCATGATTACCTGGCATAACATAGTCCACAAAAACAATGTTCCATATCCTACTTTGGTGAGTAGCATCTACAGCTATTGTCCTCTCTCCATGTGTGAAAGAAAGAAGAGTGATGAGACTTGAAGGTGCTTGGAATCAATTAGTCCATTGGACTAATGGAACCTGTGACCATCAGTCTCTACAACTCTGAGACCAGAAGAATTAGGTAGTGTCTGGCTACCACTACAACTTCTCTGATAGGGATCACATTAAAAGATCGCAAAGTAGGAGAAAATGTGAATCAAAACTCAGAATAAAAAAAGGGAAGTATTTATCAAAAGACAAAGGTGGGTGGAATGGAAATAGGAACCACAGGGAGGAAGTGGGCTAACTGTTGTTGCAGTCATGAAGATGGAAAAAAAGTATGTAATTTGTTGAACACAAAATTGATGATCTTGCTTGTAAACCTTCACTTAACAATAAGAAGCTAAAAATAAATAAAATCTGAAAAACAAAGATTTAATGCATGAAAAATCTGAATAATAAGGAATTATTTAAAAAAATTTTTTGAAGTTATGGTTTAGATAGGTAGTCATAGAACCAGAAAGATGTATTTCTTTGACAATGTAGTATATAGACATAGTTGAGTTTTCAGCAGAATCTCCTGATTATGGAGTTGATGTAGAAAATAAAGGGAAAGAGAATGAAAGAACACTCCAAAGTCAAAGAATTACTTGGTTATAAAAATTATGTCAAAATAACATCTACTTCATAAGCTGGAAAAGGCTAAAAACTGGGAGGATGGTGATGCCATTTTTTTAAACTATAAAAATGCCTCCAATGTCCTTTTTAGGTCTGGGTGATTAAAAATTATGCAACCATAATCTTTTTTACAAAATGTTTTATTGTGAATTATGCAACCATAATCTTTGACTCAGTTTCCATATCACCACATTTTCCTGAATTTCTTCCTACTTCAAGGCTACTAAAGTTTTCTTTGTTGGCTCCTCCCAATTTATGTCTCCAAATAACATGCTTTTAAAAAAATCCACTTTAAATTCTTCCCTGTACTCATGACATTTTGCCCAACTTCCAACTTGGCTTTCTATTTGTTGTTGTTGTTATGTGCCGTGCTGTCGGTTCTGACTCATAGCGACCCTGTACAGGGTTTCCGAGGCTGTAAATCTTTACGGGAGCAGAAAGCCTCATCTTTCTCCCACAGAACAGCTGGTAGTTTCGAACTGCTGACCTTGCGGCTCACAGCCCGAGTCATAACCACTATGTTACCAGAGCTCCTATTTGTAATGTTTGAAATGCAAAAGTTTCAAACTCCCAATTACCAGTTTTCCTTATCTGAGTTAATGGCAATTTCATACTTCCAGGCTAAAATTCTTATAATCACTGTTGATAACTCATTCTGTCATATTTGCATTTATCAGTAAATCTTTTCTGTTCTACCTTTCAAAATATATGCAAAAATCTGATCACTTGTTACCCTCCACTATCTGGGTTGTCTTAGCCACAAACACAAGACTGCTAATCACAAGGTCAGTGTTTCAAAGCCACTAGTGGCTCTACAGGAGAAAGATAAGGGTATTTACTTCTGTAACGATTTACAGTGTTAGAAAGCCAATATAGGTTTTATGAGTTGGAATCAACTTGATAGCAATGGTTGGGGCATTATTCTAAAGACCTCTTAACTAGTTGCTCTGCTTCCAGATCCTTTAAAAATTAACTGTGATCATGGCTTCTAATCTCTTAATAGTCAAAAATTTTTGATGACCTGCTTGGCCTTTATGATCTTGCAAACACCGCTGCCTAAGCCATAATGTCTTCCTTGCTGTTCTCCAATATGTTTTCCCCTTGCAATTGTTATTCTCTCATTGTAGAGCACTCCTCTTCAGTTATATGCATGTGTTGAGCACTCACCTCTTTCATTTTTTCCTTACTGTCACCTTATAGTCTTCTCTTCTCTTTGACAAACCTCTACCTCTGGCAGTCCCGATCCCCCTTACAATTATCCATAGCCCTTTATTACCATATGATACACTTTGCAGTAACTTCATTGTCCTCTTTCCCCCACTAAACTGTAAAGCATATTAGAAGCAGATTTAATCTTTTGTGTGATATTGTAGTAACTAATATGATTTGAAAGAGCCTTTGTTTTTACTTGTCTGCCTGTTCTTGCTTACTTATTATCTTTATATTCTACTTGTGGCCAAATGTATATGTTGGATGCTGGTGGGGATATTCACAATCAATAACTGGATTTTTCCTTCAGCTTTAAACCTCATACCTTAAATTGCAATCTCTATTTCAGAAATCTCAACAGAATCATCTATTATTTCTAAAATAAGTTGTTTTATTTTTAGGGAATGGTTGTTAAAGATTTTGTATGCTGACTTCAGACTGCTCAGGTTTGAATCCTGACTCTATCATTTACTACTTGTTTCATCCTAGATAAATTATTCAAGCATTCCATTTAAATAAAATACATAAAAAGGAGACAAATAGTATTAATTATCTTTATAGGGTGCATACTTAAGAGATTAAAGTGAGATTATCCATATAAAGTGCTTAAGTTGCTCTTAAGTGCTGTAAAGTCGATTCTGACCCATAGCGACCCTTTATAGGGTTTTCCAAGGAGCAGGTGGTAAGCTTGACCTACCAACTTTGCAGTTCAAACTGACTTTGCAGTCCAGCGCATTAACCCACAGCATCACACCATGTTATTTAGAGTTGATGTTGATAAGTGCCATTGAGTTGGTTCCAATTTACAGCGACCCTGGTATAGGGTTTCTGAGTGGCTGATGAGCTTTGAACCACTGACCTTGCATTTCAAATGGATCTTGTGGTCCAGTACTTACCTTACAGCACAACGCCAGGACTCCATTTATTTAGTCAGCAAATTATGGTTCAATCTGACCTGCTTACTATTTTTTAATAAAAGGTTTTAGGGAATATAATTAATTTACATATCATATATGATTGCTTCTGCATTGCAGTGGAAGAGCGGAATAATTGCACAAACTCGGTAAGGTCCACAAAAGCCTAAAATATTTGCCATTTAGTCCTTTAAAGAAAAAGTTTGCTAAAGTATCATTTAGAGGACAAAACTTGTAAGCTTAATTTTATCAAATTTTACTTCTAAGTACAAATATTTTATATAACTGAATATTTGGGGCTTTAAACACTGGGTATGTATATAAAAGAATAAAAGGTATAGGAGATTATAGATAACTAATAGACTGGGGTCCTGGTGTGGCACTATATAAGCACTACACTGCTAACAATGAGGTTGGCAGTTCAAACCCACCAGCTGTTCCTTGGAAACCCTATATAGCCGAGGTAGGGAAGGTCCAGTCCATGGGCCATATAAGGCCCTCAAAATAATTTGGTCTGGCCATGGCAAGGCAACCGCAGTTTCAACCATCATATCACGGTTGAGTTAATTAAATGTCAGACCAACTATAGCAGGCTACTTTTTTTTTTTCCCCCCAATGTTTTACTGTGAATTATGTGATAGTTTACATGGGAGAACATTAGTTTTACATTCATTCTATCGTATATCATTTCCTTGCCATGGTTACAATCCCCTCCATGCATCATCAACCAACCAAAGGGGATAGCCTGCAAGCCTGCCCCCCACAGTTCCCTGGTCTTCAGCACACAGTCCCTCTCCCTCTCTGTATCTAAAGTCCCCAGCTGCTCCATCGCTCCACATCATTGTCTCTGTCTCCAGCTCAGGCATCACTGCTTCTCTGAGTAGGGTCCCACTCTCCGCTCTTCTCCATTGATGGTCCTAGGGACCTCCGCTCCTAGACTGGAAAGCTAATCACTCCCTTCCTTGCTATAAAACATCTACCTTTACATTTCCAACATTCAATCAGTCCTGATACCAATTATTCACTATTGCATCACAAGAGACCCATCTGCATTTCATTTCATCAGCCCTGCGCCTAGACAGATTGGATACTACTCATTAGAGATTCTACCTTCCTCCAGGCCCTCTGGATCTAGGTTCCCTCTTGAAAGCTTGTAAGCCAGTCACTTCTTGCCTTTGTAGCCCCACACCCACCCCATTTTGGGTAGCCAATATCCAAATTGCCCATCCCTGTCTACTCTGTGTGTGGAGGGGGGGGGAATGATTCTTGCTGTAAGGATTTGTTCCCTCTTTTGAGCTACTGCATCCATAGGTGTAGGTCAAGTTCATCAAATTGTATCAGATCCCTCTTCTTTCTTCTTCTGGTTGAGCTCTGATCATCCAGTCATTGAAGCCAGGTCAAGTGGATATTATCTGCAAGTGTAGGTGTTCTTGTGCATATGCCTTTTCTTCTTATCACGCTTCACTCTCCACTCTAGTCCTCTGTGGCTAAGTCAATGACTCTGGGCCCAAGAGTCCCCAGGTCTTGCTGCACTGCTAGTCAAACAGGTCTTCACCCGGGTTCACAGAAGTCTATTGAACATTGTAGGGCTTAGCTCACAGCTTCACTGCTGTTTTCCCTCACTTCCCCTTATCTGTGACAAGCGTGGTCACCAATCAAAGCGTGCATTCCCATTAAGTCTTAGTCTTGGAAGGGGGTTTGCACTGAGGGGACCTGAAGCAGGCTACTTTTTAAGCTGGTAATTTTGGAAGAAAACATGTTCCCCACCTCTACTATACAGGGTCGCTATGAATTGGAATTGACTTAACAACACTTAACAACAATAGGCTGAAGACAAAGAGTAACTAAAAGAAAACCAGGCCAAGGAACAAAATAAAGGCTGACAGAGAGTCCAGTCTCCAAGAAAGCCTCTTGAAAAGACAAAAACAAAATCTCTTTAAAAAAAGAACAACAATGAATTTGATCACTGGATTAATTTGTAATGTGGTTCTGTGGAATTTTAAAAATGAAAGCCAGATATCTTCAATCCTTACTAATAATTCTATAATAAAAAATTTTAAGTTTGACACCACAAGTCTCTGGAATCTGACAGCAACAACTGCTATAGCTTGGTAGCTGAATACTGTTAGATTTACCCTACCCTCTCCATGTACCACAAATATGTCAAATCACCAGTTGGCTTCATGAATTCAATACCTTGTTTCTGTATGCTTCTATCACTTTCATGACAAGCTGGATCTTTTTTCCCAAGTCATTTAAAGCTTTTGGTCTCTCTTCATGTTCCATGTACCTCAGTTGAATAGGTTGGCCATATTTCTGTTAAAAAATTTTTTAAAGAAAAAGTTGGCATTATTTTGAAATTTTTTATAGCTATATGGGATTCTCATAGGATGATTAACAGGAAGGAAAGCTGATCAGCTTAAAATTATGTCAAACTTTCTTTCACTACATAGAAATGAGTTCTAGTGTCTATTTCCTTAGTCCTAATTTTGGCCTTGTTGCGTTCTCTCATTAAGATCACTTTTTGATTTCTCCCAAATCCAAAGTCCAAATCAATACTTTAATTCCTTCAAAGTTAGGTGTTGTAAGTTTATAAAACTAAGAAAACTGTATTTTAAACTTGGTTTCAAATATTTAAAGTGTCTATAACTTTCTCTATGTACCATGAAGACTGGGAGTTCCTGAAAACCTTACTGAATATGATAAATATTAATAAATTATATCCAATCATCAGAATTTAGTGTGTACTAGACTGTATGTGTAGCTAAAAAAATAAATCTTTGGCCCCTTTCTAAGGTTCTTGGAATGGGACTTGTAAATTTTCTAAATGTTAAAAAAAAAATCCCTCCAAATAGCTTAGGGGGAAAAAGAATGATAAGGATATCTTCTTTTTAAATAAAATATTTTTTCTATATACAATAATAATTTTAGATTTGCAGAAAAGTTACAAAAATAATACATAGAAATCCATATACTTCACAATCATTTCTCCTAATATTAACAACCTATACTATCATGGTACAGTTGCCAAACTAACAAATCAACATTGTTGCATTAATATTAACGGAACTCCATATTTTATTCAAATTTCATCTTTTACAGTTCTAAGATAGTATACTGTATTTAGTTCATTTACATAATACTTTTAATTATTTAAATGGGGAGAGAGAACTATATTTTTAATTTCTAAGAGCCATCTCAAAAAGTAAAAACAATCTGAAATTTTTTATACTATTCATTTCAATGGCTGATTATTTAAGGCAAATCCTTTTTGGGAGCTATTTAAGTTCTTTACTTAGTTCTATTGATACTCAGCTATCTAGTTGTTCCTTAAGTCTCAAAATATATACAAATGCATTTCTCTTAGGGAACTAGGGGGTAAAACCCACCAAGAATATAAAATATGAAATCAAATTTTGTTATCATAAATTTATGTTTTCTAATTACTTTATGTTTAATTGCTTTAAACAAAAATTTATGTTTTCTAATTAGTTCCTTTGGAAGTAATTTATTAACATGAAGATAATTTTTATAAGATATTACCTTTTTGCATTTACACACAACCTACCTCCAGTCCTAAAGGGTGATTTCCCCCATATTCTAAAAATCCTTATTACTGGCACCATTTAGGATTTTCATTAACACTTGTTACTCAAAGACTGGATTTGCTACTCAAATACAGAATCTGCATTTCCTCAAGGGCCTCAAGTAACTTAAGTGAATAGCATAGCATCCACACTAAAATGTAATGACTAAACTTCCCGTCATCCCTTCAATATTAGCTCTGATCTCTTAAGGTCCACCCCAGTGGCGGGTGGGTAGTTAAAAGAGAAAAAGAGAAATAGAGGTTATCCTTTAAAATGATACTCAGAGAAAGGTGACCCAGCTGACATCATCTTTCTTTTCGAAGGGACATGTGAATTCAAGTCCCCATCATTTGTGATTTGAAAAACCAAGGATTATTTATTCCTTTATATGTTGTTGTTATGGTGTGCCGTGGAGTCGGTTCCGACTCACAGTGACCCTGCACAGGGTTTCCGAGGCTGTAAATCTTTAAGGGAGCAGAAAGCCTCATCTTTCTCCCGCAGAACAGCTGGTAGTTTCAAACTGCTGACCCGCTTGCGGTTCACAACCTGATTTGTAACCACTATGCTACCAGTGCTCCTTATATTCCTATATATTCATACCCCAAATAAGAGTAGTGAAAGGGGAGAATAGCAGAAGGAATGACTAATTTCATGGATAAGAAGGAGTCAAGTTGACAAATTTATTATTTCTTAAAAGCATCACAAGAATGTGTAGCCTGGTTATGTAAAAGTGAGACTAATACTAGTCTGGCTAAACATTTATGTATAATGATAGAAATTATGAATATATATTCAATACATTTAATTTCAATTATCATGTAGCATTATTCTTCCCTCAAAATGCTTTTAAGATTAGAATTCCTCTTATACATCTCTGCCTCATTATTTCCTTCTATATTTATTAAAAACACACACTGCCTCTTACACCTAGTTTCTTGAAAAATTTAATGTCCTAATAAATACCAATATGGCTTTAGAAGAATTTCACCTTTAGTTCTTGAAACTTATCCACATATACTTGTTTAGGTTGGTCCTCTCCTTCTTCATAAAGCCAATTTTCTGTGTCTTCCAATATTGCAGACAGTTTATTCAAGTCCTAGTTATAAATATAAGAAATACCAATTAAAATACCCTTTTATATAAAAGCAATCAAGAAAGGACAGGGTGATTTCAAATATTAGAGATTAAATGTTAGATTATATTGACCCCTTACTCATAAAAATGTTTTCAAAATACTTCTACCATTTTGAAAGATAACTAAGAACTTCTTGAGGAAGGGGCTCAAAAAAACTGACTATAGTAACAAATTTGTATACAAATTTGTATAAACAAGTAAAATTAAGCAGTTCTGATAAATTGTAAATTTTAGACTTACTTCTGGAGTGATGAATTTTTCATAGACAGTGCTCAGTTTGTCTCTAAAATCATAGACATATTCTTCAACAGCATTCTTAGCATCATTTCTTTCTTTCTCTAACTTATCTTGCATTATCATCTTCCCCTATGCAAAAATGTTTCATATTAGTTTTGACTAAAGAAGACAGAATATTCATTGTTTAAACTCAGGTTCAAACCCCAGATTTCCCACTTAACCTAGCTTTGAGACTATAGGTGGGTCACCTAGTTTCTCTAAGATTCTGTATTCTTATTATAAAATATAAAACATAATTGTACCTACATCATAAGCCTGTGGATAAGATTGGCATAATTTTATGTAAAGCTTTTATTACAGCACATTATCGATGCTGAATAAATGTTATGAGGATGCAGTATAGTGATTTTGATTTTGAGCTTTGGAGATAGACCACCTAGATCCAAATCCAAATGCTAATTTGACCTTAGATAGTTTAATGTATTTGTGCCTCAGTTCCTCATCTATAACACATGGATATCTAATAGTACTTATACCTAAGAGGTTTTGAAGATTAAATAAAATATCAAAGTGTTTAAAGATATTAGCAAAAATTATTATGCTCCAAAACAACAAAAAAATTAAAGAATCCCTATATATTACATTTGAAGAATAAAAATTTCATTTTAATAAAAATACATGGTATTTGAAGCATAAATATCTCTTTGTAAAGTCTAATATACTGATATTTGTGAAATTAAAACAGTGAGACATTTAAAATTTAAGAGAAATCTCATCTTTGACACAAAACTTGCCATAGCTGTGTTTTGATAAAATTTCCTTTGGAAAAATGGTCTCAAAACATATGAATTATGAAAAATTCATGTCTCTAGGAATGCAAGCCTCACATAGAGGTTTTGGGTAATATAAAAAAGCAAGCATTGTAAAATCAAAATCTCTTGAGGAAATTCGTAGAATAATGGTTAGACTATGGGGATCTTCAAGGAAGAATCACTTCAAAGAAGACTAACCTCCTTTAATGGTAGCCCAGGTTGTAGAAATTAGGAACTATCACTTAAATACTAACTTAAAAAATAAAAAAAACAAAAATGAGAATTTTTCATACACAGCTACTGGTAAGGAACCAAAATTATTTTCTATAACAGCCATTGAAAAATACACTGTAGATATGACATTTATACAGCTGAGGATTTGTTGAAAATAAAGTAGAATAATGACCTACTTGATAATCCCTTGTTGTTAAATGCCATTAAGTCAGTTCCAACCCATAATGACAGAGTTTGAACTGCTGTCCTTGTAGTTAGCAGTAGAGTGCTTATCCTATAGCACCACACCATGACACCTTAGGAATTATATTAAAACAAAAACAAAAACCCAAAAACCAAAGCCCAAATTTGATGATTATCACTGGTTTCGACAAAATTTCAGAATATATCACCAGCTATTTCAGTATCAATTCATAATTGTATACCTCATTTTCAATGTAGCTATTGAGAAGATCTTGGCCCAGTTGTCTACATAGGCTACTCTGGATAGGTAGATCAATACTCTTGACTTTTCCTTTTTTAATGGTCTGGTTTAATCTCTCTTGTTTATCTGAGGAAGCTGACTGCAAAGAAATGCAAAAGAGAAGTATACATTTCCAAAGTAGTATAAAAATATATTTACAGAATGATTTCAGGTGAAACAAACACAACAAAATCAAATAATTTATTTAAAATACTGCTATTTTGATGATGATAGTATTTTTTATTCTGTATATACTAAATCTCCACATGGAAAACAAAAGTTAGAAATGCAAATCAAAATGCCGCACTTGACACCTACTAGGATTGTTAAACATACACCAAACACACACACAAAACAATTTAACTAAAAGTAATAAATTGTTAGAATGTGGAGAAAATGGAACCCTCATATACTGCTGTTGGGACTGTAAAATGTAGCCATTTTGGAAAACAGTAGGGTGGATTCTCAAAATGCTAAACATAGAGCTATCTATTCAGGGTTGCTATGAGTCAGAAGGAACTCACAAACTCAACAGCACTTGATAATAACATCACATGATCCAGCACTTTCATTCCTAGATAAATATCCAAGAAAAATGAAAACATGTCCACATAAAAACTTATACATGAATGTTTATAACAGCACACAAAACAATTTAATTTGGCTATTCATAATAGCCAAAAATAGTAATAATCCAAATGTCCATGAACTGATTAATGGATAAGATGTGGAATATATCCATACAATACAACGTTATTCAGTCACAAAAAGGAATAAAGTACTGATACATCCTACCACTTGGATGAACTTTGAAAACATTATACTTAGTGAAAAAATCCAGTCACAAAAGATCACATATCATATAACTGTATTTAATTGAAATTATGAAATGTCCAGAGCAGACAAATCTATAGACACAGAAAGTAGATTTGTAGTTAGTTACCTAAGGCTACAGTGGAGGGCGGAAAGTAGGAAATTACTACTAATGGTGTGTACAGTGTTTCTTTGTGGATGATGAAATGTTCTAAAATTTATATTGATGATGGCCGCACAGCTTGAGTAGTATACTCAAAGAACAAAACAAAACACTGAATTATACATTTAAATGGGTGAGTTGTATAGTGTATCATACTATACAATTAGCTGTTGAACAATTCAAAGCAAAAAAAAAAAAGGACAAAATTTTAAAATCTAGAAAAATGAATTTAATTTTCATATTTTAAATTATTTTAGAGTCCTGGATTTAAAACAATCTTTATTAATGTTGAAAAAAAAAATCTATACACCCAAGATGACATAGAAATAGCTAACTTAGAGAGATTCAATTCTGTTAAGGTTAGAAAAACCTACTAAAGATGATAGTTTTGAGTTAGAGTAAAATTCTTCTGGGTGAAAGGGGGCAGGGTCTCTTCCTTCTCTATTATGGGGAATGATTACCTTAGTAAAATAATTCCTCTCAACAATTGAGTCATATATCCTATAAAATTTAACATAAAAACATTTCTTATACATGGGATATTTTATGATATGCAACAAAATGTTTAGAAGAGAGATGCCAATTTAAGTTTTTTTTAATTTAGATAATATTTTAAATGAAAAAAAGTTTTGTGAAAATATCTTTTTTCTTACTAAAAATATTATTTTACTTACATCGCTAGAATTCACTCTTTTAAAATTCTACATATAAATAATTGAAATTTATTTAATCTCTGTGTTCTTATTTTAAACAGTGGTAACATTAAAAACACTGAATATATTGAATGGCATGCACTATAAATAAAGTAAATGCATCAACTAATTCAAAGTAATCAGTTTCAAGATATCCCCACATTAGTAATAAATCAAACCTTTGTTTTGGCGCCTGTATGATCAATTTCTTCTTCTGGTGTGTGTTCAGCATGGCATTTTGGATGACCTCCTTCTTCTTGGTCAACCTGCATTTTATCCTGGAAAGAATATATGTAATTGATAATTATATATTAATAATTGATAATAAACTATACACATATATATTGTTAAGTGCCTTTGAGTCGGTTCTGACTCATAGTGACCCTGTACAGGATTTCCAAGGAGCAGCTGGTGAGTTTGAACAGCTGACCTGCAGTTCAGGCTAACCCTGTGGTCCAAACCAACCTTGCAGTTCAGTGCATTATCCCTCAGCACCATACCAGGTCTCTATATGGTGATGGTGGTTATGGTGGTGGGCCCTGGAGTTGGTTCCGACTCATAGCAACCCTGCGCAGGGCTCCTGAGGCTGTAAATCTTCATGGGAGCAGAAAGCCTCATCTTTCTCCTGTGGAACAGCTGATAGTTTAATTCTCTTTTTATAAGTTTATATTTTATGGATCTTGATTTATGAATTTTACTTGAGAACTAATTTGTATTTTTTAGTTACTTGGGCATAGGTAAATTAAATAAAACTTATTCACACAGTATTAAATAAATTTTTTGTTTTGGCTTACTTATTCATCTGTTTAAAGAGCTCTGGTAGCATAGTGGTTACGATTCAGGCTGCAAATCTCACAGTCAGCAGTCCGAAACTACCAGCTGTTCCGTGGGAGAAAGATGAGGCTTTCTGCTCACTAAGAGTTACAGCCTTGGAAACCCTGTGCAGGGTTTGCTATGAGTCAGAACAGATTTCATGGCATATTACAACAACAACAAAATTAATAAAGAAAAAAGATAACCTTTATAAAAAGGGAGAGATTATCATGAAATTATGACTGAAAAAGAATTCTAACAACTCCCTTATTAAAAAGAACTTAAAAATGAAAACAAACCCACTGCCATCAAGAGTCAATTCCGACTCATAGTCACCCTAAAGGACAGAGTAGTACTGGTTGCCTACATTTTTTAAGACTGTAAATCTTTACCAGAGCAGACAGCCTCATCTTTCTCCCTAGGAGAGGCTGGGGAGCTTGAATTGCCGACCTTGTGGTTAGCAGCTCAACATGTAACCTGTTACATCATTAGGACTCCAATTTAGAAATAAATCGTATTCATAAATAGAAGATTAAAACTTAACGTAATGTAATAATCTGGAAAAAATGGAACTAAAAATAATGGAATTTTCCCACAAACTTTTTGAAGCCCCTTTGTATAATCAAGTTCTTTTAACACCAACTTCCATCAATAGTACTTCAAGAGCATAAATTTAGTTATTAAGGGTACAAAATTCTTTCATAAAGAAATAAACTGTCAAAAATCTGTATTTTCATACTACTGAATGTATGCTACACACATTCCTCTGCGGAACAGCCACAGCTGCTCCCTAACTAAACCCTGATATTTTTCTTTAAGTATGTGCTTTCCATATACAAATGTTACTTGTACAACTCAAAATTTATCATTTTGAATTGGTTTTATCTGTAAACTAAAAAGCTAGTACATAGTAAAATACATGTGCCTTTAATGGAAATTAAGAACTTATAAAAGATGATTCTAAACATACATAAATGCATGTTCTATATAATGCTATGAAAAATGCCCAAGCCCCTGAAAAGTGTATTAACAGTGAGAAAGATGCAAATCAATTAACATAGAATTATTCACTGATGCTTTTTATAAAAAGGAAAAAAAAAGTTTATAGCAATTCCTTCAGCTTGAATTCAAAGCAAAAACTCAAGAGATGACTATTTTCAACTATTAAAGTAGCAGATATGATTAAGATACTGTGTGTGTATGTGTGTGTGTGTGTGTATAATACATGGTGGTACTAGTGATTCACTAGTAGAATTCTCACCTTCCACACAAGAGAACTGAGTCTATTCCTGGCCAATGTACCCTGATGTGCTGCTCCCACCAGTCCGGCAGTAGAGGCTTGCATGTCGCTACGATACTTAAAATTACAGTGTAGCCTCTAGACTAGGAGTGGGGAATGTCCAGCCAGGTCTGGCCCTGCCAAGGCAGCCGCAGTTCCAGTTATCACATTGTTGTTGTTAAGTGCCATTGAGTCAGTTCCCACTCATAGCAACCCTGTATAGGGTTTCCAAGGAGCAGCTGGTGAGCCCTGAATTGCTGACTTTGCAGTTCAAACCGACTTTGAAGTCTAGCACATTAACTCACAGCGCCACACCAGTACTCTAGCCATAACACTGTTGTTCTTGTTGTGAAGTGCCGTTGAGTCGGTTCCAATCCATAGTGACCCTGTGTAGGGTCACATTGTTGTTGTTGTTGTTGTT